AAACCAAGGACCTTTACTCAGTGTAGCAGGTAGCACAGGAGTGTTGATTCCCTTGACTTCAGGCCCCATGGGGGTGATGCGACGGCCACATGATGCCTGCCCATGCATCCTGAGAGAAGCACTGAGCTTGGGGAACCTACCAGTTTTATAGCAAAAAGTAAGCAAGTCTGTTTTCTGTCCAGGGTTGGGCAGGGGAGGGAGATGTCACTCCATTTCTCAGGGCCTGCCCATGCATCCTGAGAGAAGCACTGAGCTTGGGGAACCTACCAGTTTTATAGCAAAAGGTAAGCAAGTCTGTTTTCTGTCCAGGGTTGGGCAGGGGAGGGAGATGTCACTCCATTTCTCAGGGCCCAGCTGCATACAAACCCAGCCCTGAGTAAGGGCCCAGGTGAAAGAGGATCAGTCGGGACCCTGCGGTCCCAGCACAGTCAGCAATACGTCAGGGCCCAAGAGGCCTGAGAAGGAGTGTGTCAATGACAGGTCGTGGCTGAGATGCCTCTTTGTCTGTTCAGACCCTCTGTTCAGCGTGCTGGGTTTCAGCAGGCATCCAATTTAGTTTCTGTTTGGAGGGGACAGGCTAAATTCCCTTGCATTTTCTTTCCCATGTGTTTTACTTTTTAAGGTGGTGGTTTTACTTAGGAAAAGGCCAGTGTGTGCACTTCCCCTGGTGGCCGGTCTCCCTGGGGCTTATATTATTCATTCATCCTTTGTTTCATTCTTCTGTTTATTCCGCAGTCTTCTGTGTCATATGGCAAATGACTTTTTAAAAATGGTGTCTGCCTTTAAAAATGTATCTTCCTGCAGCTTTGCATTCTGTGAAGACTCACATGATGACTCTCCACGTGTGCTTTCCACCCTGTGCCATGTGCAAGTCACCTGCGGGCATCGTGGCACTGACACCGATGCAGGGTTTTCTAATATAGAATCTGTAGTTTGCTTTCCCAGTTCCCCCGATGTGTTCTTTAGGACTTTCATTTTTTGCCTCCAGGATCCGGTCAGATGACACATTGCGTTTGGTCTTCTTGAATCTAGAAAAGTCCTCTTGCCTTTTGGGGGTGGGAGGATCTTTTACAACATTCAACATCTTTTGAATGTCCAGGCCAGTCATCTTGTAGAGGTCTCACAACCCGGATTTATTTAGCTGTTTCCTAATGATTGGATTTGAGTTAAGTTTTTTCCAGGGATGTCACAGGTGCTAGGTAGTTGGAGCTCCCTGCCTTACGTAGGAAGACTCTCATTGGTTATTCCAGCCTCGATCCCTTGGGAGGGGGGTGTCTGTCAGGTCCCTCCATTGTCACAGGTAAGCAGTATGTTGGATGCCGCTATGAGGACCTGTCGGCTTCCTCGGCAGCCCTCAAGCAAACCAGTTATTAGGTTAATATTTCCCAAGTGGTGATTTTCTATCATTCTTTTTACATTTATTGGATAGTATTTCATCAGTTAAAAATGCTTTTCCCTGTACCCCTTTTTAAATAAAATCATTATGGATTTTAATTCCAAGTTATACTCCATTGCCATCATTATTCTTTTTGAATCTCAAATTTTCCCAGGTCTGGCCACTGAGCACCACTTCACACTGTTTTTTGTGGCTTTCTGACAGGCCCTGTCCTTCTTGGAGCCCTGCCATGCATCCCGCACGGTGTCTCCCCCAGGCTTGCCTAGCCTTCTCCCTGCCCAGCCCTGGAGACAGGGAGCTGTGTGCTAGCTATGCTCATTGCTTCTGGGCGTCACTGCCTCCAGGCCTTTCAGTGGACAGAGGGAATAAATACATTTTTAAAGAATTATGAGTTGTGAGAGTAGATGGTGCTTCCTGCGGACCCCATGCCTAGGGCACCAGAGCCTGAGTGTACCTGGGGAACCAGGCCTGGGTGCCACTTAAGATCTGCTCACCTGGCATCTGGATGTGTGGTCCAGTAGGGGGTCTTTAAACTAAAAGGCTGAAGCCTCTACAGTCTGACGTATTTGCAATCGGCAAAGCACCTGAAGCAGGTGATCGAGTTGCCAGAGATCCTGTTGTCCACTGAGGAGCTGGTCATTTCTTTAAGGTTTGGTGACATAGTCTATGCCATCCCTGTGTTTCTTTCACACTCCCTGGCTTCCTTGCAGTTTGGTCATCGAGGCTGGGATGGGGCCACTCTTGGGTGGATCCCTGCCTGCCAAGCAAGCTGGGCCCTCCTCGGGTTGAGGGTCCTGTGGACCTGGTCCAGTTGGCTGGTTAGGTCACTGCTGAGGCCTTGGGTACAGCTCAGGTGGCGGTGGCCAAGCAGAGCCAAGGGTGTCACGCCCACATCATCCTACAGGTCTCCAGGGATGTCCTGCGAAGTCACTGGTGAAGGAGCTGTGACCATGAGTGAGTGTGCCCTGCAGAGGTGTCATTTGGAAACCACACTTGGCCCACATGTGGCTATGAAAGTGTTAGTGAGGAGGTGGGACGTGACGTGGCCTTGAGCAACAGGCTGGGATCTCATGTGTAACTGGCTGGCTCTGAAGGCGTAAACCTTGTGACCACAGCCTGGAAGGCTTCCGGGGGCTTCAGCTAAGGACAAGACAGTCACTGAGGCCACTTGCAGCAGGTTTCTCACTTCCCCTTATTTCATTTTAGCATCTCCCTTTCTCTTGCACTGAGGATCGTGGTTCCCAGCGACATCAGTATGTTTACCCGCCTCCCAAAGCAGTTTCAGAATTATGACACCAATACACCGCCCCTTCACATCCATGTGCTTCCCTTTGCATTCAGTTCCAAGGTTTGCTTTAACTCTTTCTTGTGTTTCTCGAATGTGTTGGTGAGTGAACATCACGTGAAGAGTGCGCTTCTCTCTCACCTCATTCGGTTCTGCCTTCTCCTTCCTATATGCTTTTGGAGATACATGCGTGGTACACAGACACGCAGACATAAACACGTATGTCTTGTTTCCCCTTCATTCTTATACAAGAGGCAGCATTCTTAACCATGCGCTTCTCTCTCACCTCATTCGGTTCTGCCTTCTCCTTCCTATATGCTTTTGGAGATACATGTGTGGTACACAGACACGCAGACATAAACACGTATGTCTTGTTTCCCCTTCATTCTTATACAAGAGGCAGCATTCTTAACCATATGAGGCTACTTCAGAAAGTTAGTGGAGAAATAGATTTAAAAGATAACATGAATCTTTCCATGAACCTTTTGAAGTACCGTTGTGTTCCGCGTCACTTCATAGAGACCTTCCTCATTTTTTAAAATGGTTGCATAGGATGCCATTGAATAAGTGTGTCACAGTTTGTCCAGCCGGTCTCCTGTGTGTGGACATTTGAATTGTTTCCAGCATTTTGTGATTACATGTAATCCACGAAAGAGTAACCATGTGCAAATATCTTTTATTTCTAGTCGTAAATCCCGGGAAGAGGAGTTGGTGTTGCAGAATGTAAACGCATGTGTAGTTTTGTTGAATAGTCAAGGGGCGAATTCCTTACTGTATAAATTAGTCTGCTGTAAGGTCGTGTCGGCTTTCCAAGTCCACACCCTGCGCTGCAGAGCAGGTGGAAGGAGTTGGGTTCCTGCGCGTGTCCTGATGGCATTGTCTCCATCTCTTCTGGGTGTAGACGATGGGGTGTAGGATTGCGGAGTCAGAGAGCAGGTGTCTGCTTGCTGTTGTACAAGTACCAGTTTTCCACAGTGGCTGTACCAGTTCGCCCCCAGCATCAGTGTGAGCATTCTGGTTGCTTTCTGTTCTTGGCAACACTTCGTACCGGCAGCCTTCTTAATTTTAACTGTCTGGTGGGTGTATGGAGGCATCTCATTGCATTTTGCTAATGGGTGACGATGTAGAGGAACCTTTCATATGCCTTTTGGCCACTTGGATACCCTTGTTATGACGTCCCTGGGCAGAAAACTCCATCCAAGTTTGTTGTAGTCAAGTTATGTTACATATGCAGCTTTATGCTTGGCTGGTCTTTTCACTTGAATAGTTAGAATTTTTGTCTTTTTTTTTGTAAATAGAATTTAAAAGTATGGGCCGGCCCGGTGGTGCACTGGAGAGTGCGCTGCTTGGGAGCGCGGCGGCGCTCCCGCTGAGGGTTCGGATCCCATGTGGAGACCGGTTCCTGCTCACTGGCTGAGCGTGGTGCGGGTGCAACACTGAGGGTTGCGATCCTGTTGCCGGTCCCCGGTACGGGCGCGACACCGAGGGTTGCAATCCCGTTACCAGTCAGTAAAAAAGATAAAAAGGAAAAGAAAAAAAAAAAAGAATTTAAAAGTATGATATGCTTTCTAGCTGCAGAATGTCTGTTGGGACATAGGCCTCTAATACAGAGGTACACACAGTGAAAGTTGCCCCCACTCACAGCCCATGTGACCCACCGGTGTAGGCAGGGCCCTGCACTTTTTCCTGTGCTTACATGTTATACATAGTTTTTCTGATCTTTTTCTCTCCCAAATCAAGTTATGCAATTTTCTTGCAGTTAACCTTTTTCCCACTTAACAATATACATGTGGTGAACATGGAATAACATGAGAAAATGTCCTCACTGTTAAGTGAAAAAAAAAAAAGAAAGGAAAACAGCCAATTATCCCATTGTATGAAGTGACATAATTTATTTAGTCATTTCCATTTCCCTTTTATTTCATATTTAGGTTGAGTGGAAGGCAGCCTTTTGAATTTTGGATATATGTGGTTTTTAAGCTGTTCTGGAAACTGTATAAATAGTATTTATAAATTTATTAATGTAAATTTTCAAATGTACGTTAGTGTGGCCAAATAAGGCTAGAATAATTCACCTTCTTTAATAACCAGATAACAAACCGCCGGCTTGTTCTGCTTTACCTGTTTTCTTGCTCTGGATGATCCCATTTTGAAATGAAGTTGCTTTCTGGCTAAAAAGAGGATTGACTTGTATTTTCATTATTCTGACTCCTTTCAAAGAAGGGGAAAATGAATCTTAGTGGTATACAATGCATTGTTTAGGCTCTATTAGGATGGAGTGTTTTATTTTCTACTTAGGTTTCCCTCTCAATGTTTCAGGTTTGTGAAGCCATCGACTCGAGGGATGGAGCATCTTGTGCCGAGTTGGTGTCTTTTAAGCACCCTCATGTTGCAAACCCACGGCTGCAAGTAGGTAAAAGCATTACGCACACAGGTGTCTAGAGAACACTGTAGGGTAACCAGTTTCTTAAGAGAAGCTTAAAGTTTGAGTAAAAAGAAAACTAGTATTGTCACTCTTATTTGAAAGTTCCAAAGTTCCTTTACGATTTATGTAATTCCAGTTCATTTATTACGCATGACTATGTGTCATATACTCTACTGAAATTTGTACCTCATATGCCTGTATTTAACTCCCGCACAACTCTCTGAGGTTTGGAGAAGTGAGGTGGTGTGTAAGGGTCACCCAGTGGAGAAGTCTAAGTGGAGCTTAGACTCTGTCCAGGCCTGTCTGTCCCTAAAGCCCAATAGCTGCCCTAACCACAAGTGTCTCCTGCTTAAGTTCTTACTGAGAAATGGGTCAGCTAACCAGTGTTCACCCTGGTGTTGTCAATAAAGTTTTGTTGGAGCAGAGCCACACCTGCTGGTGTATATGGCTGCGTTCCTGCTGTAGATGCCCTGATGGCTAGGTCCACAGAGATCTGTGGCCTGCAAAGCCTGAAATATTTACTCTCTGGACTTTTATGGAAAGCATTTGCTGAATGCTGCTTGAAAATACAAGTACGTAGAAGATAAATGATGTAAAAGCAATATTTTCTGTAGGAAATATTGTCAACATTTTGTAAAGCCCTATTTCCTGATTGATACGCATTATAATATTGGAGTGTGTTCCTATTGGGAAGAAGGTTTTTTTTTTGGAAGAAAAGTGAACTTATCTATTGGTGATGATATGTGGCAGTGTATAGACTGCACCTCAGACCAGGTAAATCTTCCGGGTAGCAGCAGACTGTTTTTTTTTTCCTTTTTGTCTTTTTTACTGACCAGCAACGGGATCGCAACCCTCGGTGTTGCGCCCGCACCACGCTCAGCCAGTGAGCGGGAACCGGTCTCCACATGGGATCCGA